AACCGTATAAGAGGAGGAAGAATGGTGGCCCCAGGCAATGGCTACGAGGGTGCGGGCGGCGGATTTGTTGGAGTCAGCTCCGGGCCGACGATGTCGTACGCTTACAACGGGTTCGACGTGGATGTTGGACAATATCCCAATTACGGATATAGCGAGTACCTCTGATTGATTTAGGAAAAGTGCTTATCTTGCTAGCATTCCTTGGGGGCACATTCAAGTTTTGTCTTCCTTGGCCAGTTCACTGCCCGCTTACGGATATGGCTTCCTCGATGGTGTTGCAAGACATATTTCAGAAGGATGCATTGATTGGTTGAAGCCGCCAACCTAGACAGTATGGCACCCACTGGGTGAGATTGCAAGCCTCACAACCTCTCGGGTTCGTGTGGCCGTCGGTGTGCCTCACTCTGGGAGAATTCGTTATGCTTTTGAGGTTATTAACAGAACATGGAGATGGCCACTTTTCAATGACCAGAAACTTATAAAAGCACCAGACGCCATGAGTGATTAACGTGGGTGACACCAATCTATCTTCCCTCTCCCCAGACTCGAAAAGGGACCCGAAAGGCTATTTTCCACTCAACTGCTCTACATAACGCACGTCCACAGCTACAACATCGCTGAGCATGGTATGTTTTCTGCCCTGGAATTTCTCCTCGGTCTCTAATCATGACTACCTCTTTCAGAAGCTTGTCAAGTTGATCTTCTCTCTTGCCATCGCAGCCATGGGTGTTAGAGCGGCCTTCATTCGTGACAGTCCTCTACCAAAAGACGCTTCATCATACCATGGAGACTTGGAGGAACAAGGCTACAAAGGGGATATGTCTTCCCGGAAAGAAGAGGAAATGACTTCGAATTAGTCACTAGGCAAGACCCTATCCCCTTGAACAAATGGGTTTGCGGTAGACCCACTGGGGGCGGGGGCCGCCGCATCCTCCAACAGCTCGTCGACGTCTTCAAGCACCAGTTTGGAACTCAGACACTTGCTCTGCAGAAATCCACTTGCTACGCTTCGACCAGCCGCGGTTATTTCTTCACTGCGTGTAATGACGGTGGCTACAGGGTATGTTTGGAGTTTTGTGTTCTGTCCAACCTCCTTATGCCGGCTCTGGAGACTGACGAATATCATGGTTCTAGATACCAGAGAACAGAGGCGCTCTCAATCGTGCGGCCAGCGCAAACCCCGGAAATGGAAGCATGTGCATATATCAGCCGATGCATACAAGATCTCGCTACTGCTTTGGGTCCGGGACCCCGAAGGGCAACATAAGGAGCCCAATAGTCATAAGGCATTGCTAAGCGACCATAATTATTGGCTCGTTAGCTGAAAATAGGAGTAATGTGATACCTGGGTCCTCGAGTTCTAATTAGTGTCGTTTTGCAATGAACAAAGACGTGCTTTCTCTCGCTATACAGAATATTCATTATGAGATGGCCCAGACGGGTTCGGACTTGGTGTCATTGTGACCAGTTGCTGATGTAATAAGACCGTCCAATAGGACCCGATGAAAAGCGTAAGTCATTTCGCGAAAGCCTCCGACTGATTGTCGAAGGATCGTGTCGTAAGCCCGTCAGCAACATGATCATCAGGAAGCCTCCGATCATCGTGGTCAGGGAATCAAAATTCTCCTTCTAACACAGCTACTATGCTAAATACTGAGGGGTACTAGAGGTGAAAGATGCGCTGTTATCTCTTGCAACGGCAGAATACTTCTTCTTCAAAAGCTCGATTTGAACCTCGGCAGATTTCGAACCACCAGCGAAGCTTACAGCAGCTGACACAGAACCACATCCACAAAATTATCAGCACGTCCGTCAACATGCCAGAGCCTCACATCGACGAGAAATCCGGTGACACCCCCGAGGCAGCTGGGTTGAATGCATCAGATTCATACAAGAAAGACTACCGTTTCTGGGCCATCTTGTTTGCGCTGTGCATCACCTCCGTTCTAGCATCGCTGGAGAATACAGTCATCGTCACCTCGCTGCCCACAATTGTCGAAAAGCTCAAGTTTGGAAGCGGCTACGTCTGGGTCGCCAACATATTCTTCCTAACGAGGTAAACCTATCCAGTCGTATGCATCCATGCCAACTCATCTCTGATCTTTTGAGACTTAGCGCAGCAGTCCAACCGCTTTTCGGCCAACTTTCAAACCTCTTTGGTCGCAGATACCTCAACATCGCCATCGTAGCTCTTTTCACCCTAGGAAGCGGCATTTGTGGCGGTGCAAACGGCCCTGCGATGCTCATCGCTGGCCGAGCGATTCAGGGAGCCGGTAGTGGGGGTATCAACATGATTGTCGACATCATCATCTCAGATCTTGTGCCGCTTAGAGAGAGAGGAAACTATATTGCAATCATTCTAGTCACTTACGGAATTGGAACCGCGATAGGCCCCTTTGTTGGTGGAATCATTGTGCAGAAGACGTCTTGGAGATGGGTCAGATTTCCCTTAGCTTTTCTCTGGCAAATGCTGACTCACGCAGGTATTCTACACCAACCTGCCTGTTGGTGGTTGCTCCTTGGTCCTCCTTTACCTGTTCCTCCACGTGAAGTGGGATAGGACCTCTACAACCGGGGACAAACTTCGCCGAATCGACGTGATCGGCAACGCCATTCTGATAACATCGACAGTTTCCGTTCTCATTGCTCTTACTTGGGCAGGCGCCGTCCATCCCTGGTCTTCCTACAAGGTCATCGTCCCCCTGATTCTCGGTCTTCTGGGTCTCGCTGGCTTCTGCGTCTTCGAAGGATCCGGAATAGTCCCACAGCCAGTGATGCCTCTCCGCCTGTTCGCCAACCGCACCTCAGCTGTGGTCTATGCCACGACCTTTCTCAACTCGGCAATGGTATACTGGGCATTCTTCTTTCTCCCTCTCTACTTCCAAGCCGTGAAGCTATCAACCCCTGCACGGTCCGGCGTGCAACTACTACCGGTTTGCCTTATTGCCATTCCAGGGGCTGCTGTATCTGCGGTGGTACTCAGCCGCTGGGGAAGATATAAAGCCCTTCACATCTCTGGCTTTGCGCTCCTTGCCGTCGGCTTCGGCGTTTGGACCCTGCTAGACCGACATAGCGGCACAGCGGCATGGGTGTTGGTCCAAGTGGTGCCAGCGTTGGGGTCAGGGATGCTCCTCAACACGCTTCTGCCGGCCTTCCAAGCTAGCTTAGAAGAGAAGGACCAGGCGGCAGCAACAGCGATCTGGTCGTTTATTCGGAGCTTTGGCCAGATTTGGGGCGTAGCTATTCCAGCTGCCATTTTCAACACCTACACAGCGAAATATGCTAAGATTGTTGATGACGCTGGGGCGAGGGATGTGCTGAGACATGGGAATGCTTATGCGAGCGCGACGAAGGTGTTCGTTGAGAGTTTCTCTACACCCGTCAGGGATCAGATTATTGAGGTTTTCACTGGAGCTTTGAGGAAGGTCTTTTTTATTGCGCTTTCGTTTGCGGGGCTCGCCTTTTTGCTGAGCTTTCTTGAGCGAGAGGTCAAGTTGAGAAAAGAATTGGAGACTGAGTTTGGGCTTGAGGAGAGGGACCAGACGGAGAAAAAAGTTGTGTCGGTTTAGTTGTCATTGCCAACCAAGGTACTAACGCAGCCGCTTAGACTACTTCGCAGCAGTTGCGCGTAATTTTGCAGTATACCGGGGTAACAAGCTTCGTGGGCTTCATAACGGCGCCGAGCAACACTGACTCAAGTCTGTTTGGTTCATAACGGCATGGAAGTTGAATCTGTTCCACGGGAACTATTCCCCCAAACGTAACACAAAGATCTCGCGGCAGTTCCTGCGCGGAAAAGCTTTCAATGTCTTAGCTTCGGCGATTGGAGCACTCCGCCGGGTCAATACAGAGCGAACAATAATATGTGTCGTGTCAATCTAGTCTAGAATCAGCCTAAGCAAGACAATACTGCCTGCAACGTGCGCTACGGGCTGCTCCGTGTTCGTAAACACGACTAATGTATTGGCTCACCAACCTTGACCTGCTGCCAGATCTAGAAACCAGATTATGCTTATTTTCGATTTTGTCTGGTTGTCTTCCCTGCCTGTCTGCCCGGCGCAGTCCCGTGCAACTAAGCCGTTGACAGCACCGGCATCCCTTATTCAGCCAAGGCCTTGGACATCCTCTTGTTTAGGCTTATTCTCCGGAATTCTGAGTCAGGTCGTCTAAAGTTGCTGTCAGAGAGTGGGTATCCTAAGGTGCATCAGGTTGCGTTGGGCTGCTGAACGAAATAGGCGATTATGCCTTCACGGACAACTGTGGGAGTCCGACGCAAACGCATTCCCCTTTTCCGGCTGTAGGGTTGAATGTTGTCATTGATGCACAATTGAGGCTGAAGGCGTGGAGATCGGCTGCACATACTCGTCGGCAGGCGGTGCCATCATCAGCGAACTAAAGACAAAGGCAAAAGCGCACGCCCCTGGCTTGGCAACTTCATTGCTGTCTGCGTCACAGCACGGATCGGGCAAACATTACCCTACTCAAAACTCAAACGCAGCGGGGGGGTCTTCTTCGTTTCGAAGAGCAATTCGCCCCGTAGTGCGGCCCGGCAAATGGGGCCTAAACTCAAAATCGGTTGTTCGTCGCACCTCCTCCCAGTCATCTCTTCCCCGTCTTTTCTGTCTCTCTGTTCACATTCTGGTGTGGCCGTCCGGACGCCCCATCATCATGCCGTCCTATGGTGCCTCGCCAGCAAACCGCCCAATGATAATTGACTTTCATAACCTGGAAACTTTGAGGGTAACATGAGATTCATGCACACGTGGAGTTTCCACGCCGACGTGAACGTCCTGAACCCTGTCCTCTGAGCCGAATGTCGACTGGATCTCATGAACACCTGTGACCTACCGCCGTGCAGGGAAAGCTGCCGATACGAATTACTCCTTCTCGGCACTTGACTACATCTCCGGAAATTGGCCGATCGCGATCGGTCTTAGCACTTCATCTTTAAGTGCGCGCGCCTTCAACGTCTTCCTAGATTGTAGAGGAGCGAGAAGAGGATGGCCATGGATGGATACAGGATACGAAAGCCGACCGGACCTCGCGATCGCAAAGCCGCTGCGGCTGCTCGACGATGCCCATCTTGCCGCCAGCTATGGGCAATGGTCAGTCATATTCTGACTCGTTGTTACACGAAGAATACTTATCAGACTTATAGTGCGAGTGTCGACGGCTCCGTCAACGGAAAAGATCGTTGTCATCTTCCACCTCCGCGTCGCCAATGAGCCATTCATCTCCCGGTACTATTGGCTCAAAAATTACAACACCTGGAGATCTCAACACCACGCCAGGTGTATTGGAACCTTTGCCGCATGAAATCACGACTGCTTTCTTCGCATTCGTCGGTGATTCGCCTTCGCCCCTTACGGATGTGTTTTCACTCTCATTTTTGAGAACGTACCTGGAAACATCCATACCCGTGAGGACTGTTATCATGACCATCGGCAAAATCCTTCTCGAATTTAAAAAAAGGGGAGACTTGAGCAAAAAGCAGGCGGCTGCAGCTGCGGTGGCTGCCTCAGACCGTCACAAGTTGAATGATTTCTTGGATATCCTCACATCGCCAGACTGCCATGATCAACACCTGACGCTGGTATTCGGCATTCTCCTCGCTTACATGGAGGTAAGTCAAGAGATCCCGGCGCTAGGATATGTAAAATTGGTTCGACTAACAACTCCAGGCAATGGTAGCCCGTTCATGGCTCCTGTTCCAAGCAGTATTGCGCAAGTTATCAGATAAAATACAAGATCAACTAGAGAAAGAACGACGAGGCCCTCATCTTTATTTCGACAGGGGCCTTCTCATCAACTATTCTCTTATGGCTGGCTACCATGCCATGATCTCGTTTGAAGACACATATCTCGTCGATGTTGACCTCTACGATCCTTCACCATTCGCAGACATTGACTCAGCTACCAGCAATATCCGCGCAAATGCCGCGATCCTCCATCATTACTGCAAATATGTCGTGAATTTTGCTCGGCTACACCACAGGTAAGTCTTACTATCAAAAACAACATATCTGTGTACTGGAGGGTTGTTAAGTCTGAAAAAATTGAATACAGAGCGACAAAATGGGTGAGACAAGCGCGTCAGATCATTGCAGACCGTCAAAACGAATCTGAAGCAACTGAGGACGAGCTCAAGGAGGCTCTGGCCAGCTATGGGTTGCTGAAATCTGGAAAGGAAGTTGTCGAAAGCTCTGGTAGAGTGATCGACGTGATGGAGATGTTTCGCGGCAGAGACGATGCAAACGACGACGTGGAAGGGAACGATTTTGGTTGCATGAGAGAGGTCTTCTACCATTTCGCCCTCATGGGACTCACCCGGACCTTCTGGGACCCGACATGGAAACTAATCGACGAGGACCTCCCGCACATGCACGACATGCCTGATCTCGAAGCACATGGTGTCTTTGTTCTCGAAAGGCTAGAGCAAAGAGTTCCTATGCTTGGTCTTGAGTCATGGTGCTACTTGGTAATTTTGATGGGTGTTGCAATGGAGGTCAGGCAGGTCGAATATCAGAAGAGGGTGGAAGTTGTGGTCTCAGACATCGCAGGAAAGGGGTTTGCTTGCGCCGAGTCGATGTTGGGTGACATGAGGCTGCTCTGGGGGATGGATTATGCGGCCCAACACGACAGCAGCATCGGCCCGACCTGCTGATACAGAGAACTACGCTACTGGTCGAGGAACACTGAGGAGCCTTGCATGATGTCACGTTCCCAAAGGAAAACATGAAATGTTATGAGAAGCCGTCGCTAGGTCTAAGAACCAACGTGCATATGTAAGAAAGTGATGCTGCGGGCCCCTGTGCTTGGTACTATTGTATTGCGCTTATCCCAGTTGTAAGACCGCATCCTTGACTTCGTTTCTGATATCCATGTTAGATGTTAGATATACAGCCTGGGTAAATCTTCTCCCCCAGAACCAGCCGTTTTCCAATTTTCAATGAGTGTTGAAAACCACTAATTCATCGCATGCAAGCCAATGACAGCACAAGCTGCTCATTAGCTCGAATGACGTCATGCCCAGACACGTTGCTTCCCCGCAGTAGAGGTTGCACAGCAGACGGCGCCGATCTACGACTACCACCTCTTGACGACTCGGGAAATATTCCGATTCCAAGAACTACCAGATCATCTGTCGGTTATCACAGATCTACAGTCGACACCATGGCGCCGCCTATTTGCACTAAGACGTTTAAGCTCAATAACGGTGCGCTGCTTCTTACCAGGGAAAGGTTGCAGGACTGACAGGGCAAATCCTAGGACTCGAATTCCCTGCCGTTGGATTGGGAACTTGGCAAGGTAAGTAAGCAGCCTTGGCTTGTTTAGACACGTTATATTGACATGCTACAGGCAGTCAAGGAACAGAGGACGCCAAGGCCCTAGAGGAGTCCATCATTCACGCCCTCAAGGTCGGCTACCGCCTTATCGATACTGCCCAGCTTTATGGTGTCGAGGAGGTCGTCGGCAAGGCCATTCGCAACAGTGGCGTTCCTAGGTCCGAGATCATTGTGGTGACCAAGTTCTGGGGAGAGTGGCACCACGACCCGGCGGCAGCTTTGCAGATCTCTCTCGATGCTCTTGGCCTCGACTACATCGATGTCTTTCTCATGCACTGGCCGTGGGCCACCACGCCCGCTCCCGAGAAGAAGGTTCTCAAGAAGTGGGAGAGCCCTACCTTCATTGAGACGTGGAAGTTGATGGAGCCTCTGGTTGGGGAGAAGTGCAAGACCATTGGAGTTAGCAACTTCATGCCGAAGGTCATGGATGAGCTTCTAGCTGAGGCCAAGATTGTTCCTGCCATAAACCAGGTGGAGATGCACGCATTCAACCCTAACCTGAAGTTGATGCCTTACTGCCAAGAGAAGGGCATCCATGTGATGGGCTGGAGGTGAGACCGTCAGCTCCTTTGGCACCCGAGATTACTAACTTCATTAGTACCCTGGGAGGATCGCGGTCCGCGCAGAATGAAATCCTCACTCACGAACTCTTCACCAGCATCGCAAAGGCGCATGACTGTTCTACTGGCGTTGTATCGCTATCCTGGGCTGTGCAACGTGGAACTAGCATTATCCCGAAGAGCGCGAACAAATCGCGCATTGAGGAGAACATCCGCTTGGTCAGGCTCACGGATGAGGAGATGAACAAGATCAACGACGCCCACAAGACGATCAGGAAGGAAAGATTCTCTAACAACATTGAGTCTCAGCACATGGTCATCGATGGCGTTATGACTCAGCAAGGCTGGACTTACGTTGACATGGGATACGAGGACGAGAATGGAAACTGGTTGGTCTAAACCATGATCTAACTAAGTGCTAGAGGGGATAGACAAAAGGCTGGAAAATCTAGGGAAATGTCGATTCAATGTGGCGTCCAAAACCCTTCCCAGTTTACCAAGCCATCACGTCCTGTGGGGCCTTAACCTTAGGTTCCTTGAGAACACTGCCATTCTTAGAGCTTCGCCCAGTCAAGACGTCGTAGATTCGCTGTCCAAATTGGTTGAATGCATTTGTCATACCGCCCATCTTGGTAAGCTTCTTCTCAAGCTCAGAAAGCTGGAAATCGAAAGACATCCCATCAACCGTTACAACATTGCGGTCCAGATCAATCTCGATGTCCGCTCCCATGTCTGCCTTCTCGTAAAATTGAGCATCTTTGATGATAAATCCCCATAGTCCCAAAGATGGCTGATTCCTGCTGTAGATGAAGGCAAAACTCTGGGCTATAACACACTTCACCCCAGCACCTGTTTTCAAATGTTCAGCATGGTCCTTAATACCCCGGGCTGAGAAGCACATTGCATCCAGTCAAAGACAGACAAACCTAGCAGTGATTGAACAGACTCCTGGCGGCTGGATCCGCACCCAAACGCCTTGCCAGCGACGACCACCTCGTAGCCTTCTTTGACCTTCTGTCGGAACTCTGGAGTGGTGTGCTCAAGACAGTGGCTTCCTAACTCTTCGTTATTCTTTGATATAAGGAGATATTGGGCTGGGGCAAGCTGATAAGCGGCAGTCAGCAATGTCAGTGTCTAATATCTGTCTTAAAACAGGGTCAGAGACGTACCGCATCAGTGTCAACAAAGTCTCCCAGTCGAAAGACCTTGCTCTTAATAGTGCCAGATCCTGTTGCCCCGTTGTCTCCCGCTCCGGCGTCAGTCAATTTGAATTCCTGCTCATCCTCTACGCCCTCTTGTCTCTCGGCGTCTTGTCCAGGTGGCTCGACCCAGAGCGGTTGGGTGAAAGGTCCGTCGGGAAGCGAGCCTTTGCCTTTGATGCTGTTCCATCGCTCATCTGGCACAAGATCGATGAGCTCCTGCGGCGATGTCACGACCATGTTAAAGGAGGACGCAGCGACCGTTGCGGCGGAAGCCAAACTACCAATAGCCCCTATTACACATCATCAGCTCTAGTAAATATCAAAAAGACACATCCATGTTTCAATAACACTTACCCTTCCCCATTCGGTTTTCAAAGTTGCGGTTTTGGCTGCTCAACCAAACCTCACCTGGCTGGGCCATATCCGCACCCATACCCACGCAATAGCTGCATCCTGGAACACCGATGGTGAAGCCAGCACGTTCATAGATCTCTGCGAGCCCGGAAGTTCGCAAGTAGTCCGCTATAGGACGGCTACCCGGCACCACTCGGCGGTTTCCTCCCGCAACGGGCTGCTTTCCTGCCTCGAGACCAGCTTGCAAAACCAATGCTCCCATTATGAGATCTTCCTCCGCCGTTGTGCATGCGCCGATGAATACGCCATCAAGGTGTGTGCCTGAAACTTCTGACACGGGCACAACATCATCGGGACTAGGATATCGAGCCACGAATGGCTGCGCCAGAGATATGTCAATGATGTGAGACTCAGCGTATGAACAACCTTCGTCCGGCTTGAAGTAGTAAGAAGCGGTTTTGTGATGAGCCGTCTTGCGAGAATCGATGAACTGCTTCGTCACCTCATCCGCATGGAAAATGCCTGTGATACCACCAAATTCGGTTGTCATGTTAGCAACAGCGAAGCGGGCGTCGGGGCTCAGCCACCGACATCCTGGCCCAGTATATTCCACAACTCTGTCCGCCGCAACGGTGTTGCGCTTGAGTTGTTGCAAAATATATAGGATAATGTCCTTCCCACCCACGCCTCGTCGTGGTTTGCCGATCAGGCGAATCTCAACAACCTCAGGAACCTTGAACCAGATCTCGCCAGTGACGAGCGCCATCGTGACTTCGGTGGCGCCTAGGCCAATAGCAAGACATCCATCAGCGCCCGCACTACAGGTATGAGAATCAGAACCGATGATTATCTGTCCAGGCTGTGCACGCTCGCGGTAGAACTCTGTATGCATGATGGTGTAGTTATGGCCTTGGAACTCGGTCATTTTGAACCTCTTTCTTGCAAAGTCCATCTGGCCAACAAGCTTCTGGACAAGCGGTGTGTCCATAATCCTAGGATCAACAACATGATCGCCTGCAAGCCAAAACCTGGAGTTCGAGAAAATACCAGGGTCTCCAAGCTTGTTGTACGCTTGAAGCATGCCCTGTCATACGTTATCGGGCGTGCTCTCCACGGAACTAAGCGCCCAAACTTACGTGCCAAGTCGCTTCACTGGCCATGACCCAGTCAACGGAAATCCTGATGGTGTCCCCAGTGCGTACCCATCCTGGAAGATTTACGTCGTGCAGGGCGAATATCTTCTCCGTGACGTTCATAGGACGGCGGCCGGCGGGCCTATTGACCAAGGGCACGATTGGTCCGCCGCACCTTTCGGCTGAGTTGAGAGACTCTAGCCCTGCGGATCCGATTCTCAGTACGATCCGGGAAGCAGGCTCGTTCTTGGCACTATATGACAAAGGACGAGGGAGTGAGAGTTCTTACATGCGGATGCCAAAAGTACAACCTCATCTATGTCTTTTTCTGATAAGTTCATATCCGTTGAAAGTCCCATGCCTCCGTAGTCAGGAGATCCCGTGGCAATAGTGAGAACCTCTTGGATCGCGCCTGCTTCTTTAGGATTTCCATCTTCAAGCAGCTTCTTTGAGAGCGACGATAGAGTTGAGAGAGCATTGAGACCCTGGTCTACTTATGGTCAGTACAAATAACTTGGCCTATCCACCGTCGATTCTGCCATGGTCCGCCCGGAAGCAAGGGATTTCAGACCTGCTGGAGTCCAGCCAGCATTGATGCCAACATTTCTGGTCGCTTTCAATATTTCCAGGACCCGAGTTTGGAAGCTATTCGCGGCCATCGTGGAGGAGGATGCTTCGGGTGGTCACTGGCAAAGTCTAAGGTAGCTCGACGAAAGTCGTGAGGGTTCAACTTAGAAACTGCCCACTACTACAGCGTTCTTCACGTCTCCTCCGGGGAAATGCTCTCTGAGGTGGCCAGCCGGTGCCTTTTCAGTGTGGTCGGGGTCATATGTTAAAGTTTAAACTTGCTGGGCTGGACCAATGCTTCGGCCCGTATTACACAACATGCATCCAGGGTTCCTAGGGTGCGCAAGTCAGGGCGAATACGACGCAGTCTCATCCGTGCGTTCCACGCAATGTGGAGTTCCGACCATAGTATATAGCATGTATTATTTTCTCATTGTTCAATCCCGAAGCTCGGTGAGCCCTCCATTGAAGGGCCTAGGTATCTGTTACTGTCCGTGCGGATCATGATTCTCCTCTCGACGTCTTGGATAATTGTACTGCTATCCACCATGAGAGGCACCAGATATTTTCACGCATGCCTCTTTTGACTCAAATACGATCTCGCTACCGTCTCATAGGTGACGAACTCGACTTGCGTTCCATGACCTTTCATCCACAGAATCATGCTCTCAATAGTCCCAATAATGTGTGCCATTCCAGATGTATCAGGATGCAAGATTAACGGAAACACGAAATCCGCAGGACCTTCGCCGTCCGGTCCATGATTCCAAAGCCAAGCGAATCTGTCTTGCCACATCCGCTCAATCGACTGAGACGGCACGTATCCATGCGAATTTTCCACGTTCGGTAGATACTGCAATGGTGTCATATCCTCCATGTACCAGTTGGCGGGGATCTCGACGACTTTGGAAGGCTCTGGCAAAGCACAGGGTCTCATCCAAGTCTGTGCAGGCTGTGAATAGTCTACCGGTACTGGAGACGGCCCTTTTGTGAGTTGATATAGCTGAGAATCGTGACCACTTAGTGAAGAGTCATACAAGAAGCCTTCACTCTCGAGCAACTCAATCGTTTCTTCTCGCAGTCGATAGAGGGGCGCTCGGTATCCAACAGGCTTCTTCCCAGTGAGAGATTGAGCAAGTTTGATGCACTTCTCGAAGATGTCCTTCTCTTGCTGTGTGCTAAGTCTCGTACAGTCTTCGTGACAATAGCCGTGTAACGCGACCTCTGCTCCCGAATCGTGGATCAACTGGGTTTCCACGGGGAATGTCTCCATTGAATGGCCCGGAATGAACCAAGTCATCTTGTCGGCAACATCCAATCGTTTGAACAGACGGATCAGACGGCTCACTCCAACATGGCCTGCGAAGAAGCCTGAGGAATAGTCTGCCAAGCAGTTACGTGGGTGCTGCCCTGTACCTAACCATCCGGAGACTGCATCAAAGTCGACCGATAGTAGTACCCGAACTTGTCGAGATGGCTCACTTATTGCTTGAGGAGTCTGAGAAACAAGTGAAGTCGTTTTCAATCTTCGTATGAGACCTTTAAAAGATGCGATTGCTTCAGGACTATCTCCGTTTGGTGCAACCCGAACGGGAACTCCTCCTACTTCGATGACTAGTAGATTTCGAAGGTTAGACATGGAAGCTACGAGCATGTTCTTCTACATGGACCATTGTCTACTTACTCTGCTCCATAATATATTTTCTTCAGTACAAAATCTTGCTGTAAGATGGCGAGACGCGAAGCCTTCCAAAGCTGACTTGAACGGAGATATGCTTTACAGGTCAGCCTAAAGGGCTCATCATCCACAGAGATACTGAGGAGTGAGGGGTAGTTTGGAGCCGATAATGAGGGGTGAGATGCCGATAAGAAGAAACTTCGGGTGTACAGGTTCATTCGGTCGCCATCTTTCTGCATATGCAGCTAGAAGACAGCCGAGGCCGACCACTGCTTTGGTGCTCATTGGCGGTCAGAGCGGGTTCTGCGACAGCACAAACGTGGGCTCCAGACCGATCCGGTGTGAACAAGAGGGGGTCCGGCACTACCCCAATCCACTATTACTTCATCAATCAGGTCCCCGCCGGATATTCGTGAGCATCGTCATCCAATAGCAACACTGGTCAGAGCCAACGATAGGAGCTGGAGGATTCCACTTTTCGACTACAAGTGCCATGGATTCGGGATTCACGGTCGAGAAGGCCAGGGAGCAATTCCCATCTTTGCAGAAGGACCAGATCTTTGGCGATAATGCTGGTGGCAGTCAAGTGCTAGGCAGTGTTGCCCACAGGTAATTAATGTCTCTCACGACGGCATGCTATCGTCTAGGAGCTTACCATGATCAGTATTTCAGAGTATCTCATAACCAGCAATGTCCAGCTTGGAGCCACTTACAGCACATCGCGCACATCAACCGCCAAGTTTGATGAGGCCTATCGGATCGCATCTAAGTACATCAATGCTGGCATTGACGAAATTGGTGAGGCCGACGCTGTCATACAAGAAAACTGAAAATTAATAGGTTTCCTCAACTTCGAGTGATTGGAGCATCCACCACTCAGGTCTTGCGGAATCTCGCCGCTTCCGTTAAGCTCGAAGCTGGCGATGAACTCATTCTCTCTGAGATTGACCATGAGTCGAATATTGATCCATGGCTGCACTATGCCCAAATCACTGGCGCGAACATCAAGTGGTGGTCTCCAGCTGATCGATCGAATCCGAAGCTTGATACCGAGACCCTTAAAAGTCTATTGACTACCAAGACACGCCTTGTGGCCTGTACACATGCTAGTAATATTCTTGGTAGCATCCATGACATCAAGGCCATTGCCAATACGGTGCACGAGATTCCTGGTGCCCTTCTTTGCGTGGACGGCGTTGCCTACGCCCCACACCGGGCGATTGACGTAAAAGAACTTGGCGTAGACTTTTATGCCTTCTCTTGGTACAAGGTGAGCTCCCCGAGCTTATGAGATTATTTATAAAGAATGAAAGCATCTGGCATCAATAGCATATGAATTGACACGTAGAAACCAGGTCTACGGGCCTCATATCTCCCTGTTATACGGTTCACGCAAGGCCCAGGAACAACTCAAACCGTTAGGACATTATTTCAATCCATCTGCAAGTTTGATGGATAAACTGGAGCTCGCCGGTGCCAGCTATGAGTTGACACAATCCATTATACCCCTTGTCGCTTATTTTGGGAAGAACCCCAAAAAGACATGGGATGAGATCACTCAGCACGAAGAAAAACTTCAGAAGCGCCTAATTGAGTACCTCGACTCAAGACCAGACATTTCCATCTGTGGAGAAACTTCATCCGAGGCCACAGTTCGACTACCGACTATGAGTTTCACGGTGAGGGGAAGATCCTCACAGAGCGTGGTAGAGGCCGTCGAAACACAGTCGAATGTCGGAATACGCTGGGGCCATTTCTTCTCCAAGAGACTGGCTAAAAAGACTCTTGGACTCGACGATGATGGTGTAGTTCGGGTCAGCCTAGTGCACTACAACACCGGTGAGTAACATCATGATTCTTGCCTTTTGTAGATATGCTTCCCAGAGAGCTTATACCGAGGCGTGTTAGTGGACGAGGTTGAGGCAATTGTCAGGGTTCTGGATAAGGTTTTGGGTCCAATTTAACGAAGTCGGAGAATGATGGGGCTACGCATGCAGACGAGGATGCACGTGGCTGTGTGCACGCAAGCTACGGGATCAGAATGAGGGGCACGAGTGTCGACCACCGGCGCATTGTCACCTGTGCGGAGACTTTCGAGGTAGTCAGATTGGGTCTCATCCAGAATAGGTAGCGAAGGTGAGATCAACCAAATATCATGGCCTGCCTCAGCCAGACTTCGTTCTTCGAGGCAAACTACCGGTCCGAGGTGTTATCCGATAGAATGGAACGCCACGCGGCAAGACACAACAACCGGTGATACTTGTACCTGGGTTAACGTTGTTACATCCAGGGACAAACCAAGTGACCTGACTCATGGTCTTCGGTGCGTTCTCTTTTGGGACATCCCAGGTCCGAAAGCTTGCGATACATTCATAGTTCTTCATTGGGGTTAAGCACGTAGAAAATGGAAATAGAGTTCAAAAATACCAGTCATGCAACTGGGCTAGACAGATCTAATGGTGAGAAAGCTCCACACTTCGATGCCAACCGAAAGGTTTCATCTGGACTTGGTCAGGTTCATCCGCGTTGTCCAGGACCACGGTGTGCCGAGAGGCCGGATAATTGAGAAAGCATCGAGAAGACAACGACATAGTCTGTTTTGCTATGGGGTTCAGTCACAGGAAGCTCTCTCATTGGCGGCGGTTTTGGTAGACGTCTAATCACACTGTGACGCTGCACAGTCTAAACTTTCCTAGTAGGGCCGTTGTGGAAATGCAACAGATACTGAATCAGCTCCATTTCAAAGAAGGTTTGCAGGGCTTATGATGTTACGACTTATAGATGTGGGCCCGGCAACTATGATTCTTCTTGCTTCATCAAAACCGCCATCGTCGCCTCAGTCAAGTAGGTGCTTTGCGCCAACGACATTCTGTATTGAAGGTTCTCCTGCGTAAAGACACCAAATATCAGTTTTCAAGATGTACGTCCTTCACTCCCCAACCCACACGAATTGACACTCACTCTCATGGAGGTTATCAGACCCCCAGAATAAGTATGTTGGGTTTCTGCAGTTTGAAAATCCAAACCGAAAATGGCCCAGCAGAGTATTGAAAAGACCGCCTACATGGTTGTCTACAGATCTTCGAGATGGTAACCAATCTCTCATCAACCCATTGGTACGCGGTACGCCTATTTTGGCTTTAGAGGTGATGCTTACCCGTTAAAACAGACTGTGGAGCAGAAGTGGGAATACTTTCAGATGCTCGTCTCAATTGGTTACAAGGAGATCGAAGTAAGCTTTCCTGCGGCTTCCCAAATCGAATTTGACTTCACGCGCCGTCTGATCGAGACTCCTGGGGCCGTACCAGACGACGTTCGGATCAGAGGACTCTCTCCGACGCGTGAAGACTTCTTGGCCCGCACGGTTGAAGCCTTACGGGGAGCCAAGCGAGCCGCAATCTGCACATACATATGCACCAGCGACAAACAACTAAAATACCAAGGCTTCACCCGCGAGAAGGCTGTAGAACAGGCCGTCAGATCAGTTCGGTTCTTACGGTCTCTCACGAAAGATGATCCGGAATCTGCCTCCGTCACCCACTGGACTCTCGCCTTTGGTCTTGAAGCTTACAACGAAGCTGACCCCGAATTTGCGTTATTGATCACGGAGGCTGTTAAAGAGGCCTGGGGGGCGACTGAAGAGGATCCGTTGGTTGCCGTCCTAGCCACCAGCACAGAGGTAGCCACGCCAAATGTGTTTGCAGACCAGGTCGAACTTTTCCAGGCTTCCCTATCTGAGCCTGAAAAGATTAGAATATCGCTTCATCCCCATAACGATCGTGGATGCGGAATTGCCACGGCGGAAATGGGCATGCTAGCCGGCGCTGGTATGGTTGAGGGCTGCCTTTTTGGCAACGGTGAACGCTGTGGAAATGTTGATCTTGTCGCTCTGGCTTTGAACTTCTTCTCGAGGGGTATTCACCCTGGTCTGGACTTTTCAAATCTTCCACAGATCAGAGAAAAGTTTGAAAGACTCACTGGACTGACGATCTCCCAACGTGCACCTTACGCTGGTGAGTTTGCCCTACAAGCATTCAGTGGCAGCCACCAGAATATCATCCGTAAAGGGCTTGCGTGGCGGAACGAAGCTTTCGAGAGGGGTGAGCAGCCGGTTTGGGACATCCCCTATCTTCCTCTCGACCCGCTGGATCTAGGTATTCCGATGGATCAAGTTATCCGCGTGAATTCGCAGAGCGGCAAGGCAGCCGCCACTTGGATTCTCAGCCGACGATGGGGGCTCGATCTTCCTGTCGACCTTCAGATTGACTTCGGTCGCCGTGTACAAATGATGTGCGAAGCCCTGGCTCGGGAGATCAGTCATCAGGAGGTCATCAACCTGTTCATCGCCAGCTATGCACTTTCGTCAGAAAGACATAGTACCGGCAATATCAGTGTTTTTAGCGACGGGACCCTCGAGAACGTTACTGGAACAGTCAATCCAGCGGACGGCTTGACGATACGGGTCAATGGATCCGGCAGCAGTATCGCGTCCGCAGTCATTAGGGGGCTTCATTTCATGAAGGAAATGAACGTGGGTGCCGAAATATGTCACACGCAACAGCTTACGTCCGATTTTGATCAAGGCAAAACCTGTGCCTTGGCGACATGTACTGAAGGAGAGCAGACAGCTTGGGGCTACTCCATCGACAGCAGCGAACGTATAGCGCAGGCAATGGCAGTTGTTGCGGCGGCTTTGGTATGCACCGTATCAATCTGTGGCTTAAAAGCCTAGGCTAACTTATTTACAGCACCTCCATCGCCGCAAGTTGTCAACTCTTCCGTTGAAGAAGCATGGGGCTACGACTAGGATGGATGCAAAGACAGCACCTTCGCAAACCATTACCAAAGCATAGCACCAGTATAGTATATGACAATATCAGTCGGGTTCTGTATGATGCTTCTGTCAATCAGTTTCTACTTTCCGGGTGGCCGTCACAATATATACCTAGATACTGGATAATTCTGAAAACTGCAATCTCACGGCTTCTTAGAGACAACGAATCTGGACGACACTGCCATGTCCACTATTAAGGTACTTGATAAGGTGCAGAACTCTGTCTTTTCGAACTACTGGCCCACGCTCTTACAGCCGATAAGGCATACCTTGCTCGGCTTCCTCGCCATGTTGGATGCGTCCCGGTTCCACGGAATCCGCGGCCCGACTCTTTCACGCACGATTGGCAATTTCTGCCGTCGGAGGAGACTCGTTTCTCAACAAGAAGAACCCAAGTGCTAGATATATCCCGATGGCAACAAATTCTTCAATGACAGCCATGGTCACGTAGACGCCCAGATCACCCTTGGCCATGGAAAACGTCTTGTTGTGTAGAAAGGTCCCCAGAATCGAATAAATAATTCGAGTCAATAGAAAAGGCCATGCCAAAAGTACCGCGACAAGCAAGCGTCGCTCGATGCGAGGGACTTGGCTGAGGGGCGTGAAGGCTTGTCGGGAGACGAATATGACAGCCGTGATTGCAATGAAACCAGCAAGGTATAGTAGTATAGATGCCTTCGTGATGGCCTGGGGCTGGTATGTGCCGTCTGAGGAGTATCTCATACTCGTGCCACCAACGATGCTTAGGATCAGACCGACAAATAGTACAGCCTGGATGATTCTGAAGTGCTTAGTATTGAGTGAAGAGCCTCTGGTTGCCTTCACCCAGTCAAGGCTGTCAAGATGTAAGCTTCCTGAGATGTTCTTTGTGTCAGGGGTTAATTACAGTCTTGAACCCACTCCGAGCGTTGCCAAGAGTAATGGCGAAATAGCAACTCCGTTGAGGATAAGAGCAGCTTGCACCAAGCCAACAGACGAGTTGTTGTACGTGGCTAGTTGAATGATAGAACCAAGAAATCGGGCGATGCAGAATATGACGGTATATATCCAGCCAGTGGAGCGATTGAATCCAAGTTTGAAAGAAACGTAGGCTGAGAGTAATAGACTCGGGCCGTAAATAGCCACCTCTACCACAGAGACTCCTCCTCTACCGTCAAAAGGGTGGCCCATTATTGTGCAATATCTTGGGAGAGTCAGAAAGAGGAGAGAGTGATTAGTTTGGCTTCAACAGGCTTTATTCTTCATATTGGGCTACCATATTGAACAGCTCCTGTTGGTCTATATACGCCAAGGCAGCAATAGACCGCAGAGCAGGACTGATGAAGAGGCCCCGGCAGCTCGCATTCGCTACAATCGACCGGCGCTGATATCCGGCAATTGCCTTACATCGTAATCATAGTGGAGGGATGTATTGCAAAAAAAATCCTCCATCTTGATACCGCAGCAAATGGGGCTAGATTTGCTGCCATCGCCATGTAAGTGCTTCTCAGCAACCCCGGTTCAGCTGAAGTTTTCGCCGAGTGTAGTGGGTTTCACGACACCAAGAAGCCCCCGCGTACCGCCGTAAAGAGGTTGGAATGATTTGTTCAAAGTCATGTTTGCAGGGATGAAACATGGAGCAATACGGGCGGGTCTTCGTTCACAAAGACTCAAGATGTTCATTAATTCTCTGCATAAATACGAGACTAAACCAAATGGGGTGGGCGTCTCGACGTGGAACCCAGGTTGTGAAAGAGCCGGGATGTTGGAGCCAACGCCGTTCTTCCGACGCTTTTCGGCGTAGCAACGGCCCCCAAACACAGCCACCAACAAGAAAGAAAGCGCTGACGCACCGCCATTTGGTCTGTCTACTTCGACACTATCTCCAGTCCCCGCGCCGAGTCAAGGAGAACATTCATCGGTGAGGGACTTTCGACCGGCGGACCACAGTCCCCCACGGCCAGTTGCCCAAACTCAGAGTATATTGTCTGGCCAGATCCCGATCATGGTCTTCTCCGGCCGGCCATCAGACGCGTGCTACCCCTGTCGCAAGGGAAGACTCCGGGTTCGTACTCCATCCCCCATCATTTCCCGCCCAAACCCCCCCCTTTCGCCTACTGGCCCGCTCGTATCCTCGGGCTTCAACCGGTCAGGTCAGCCCTACGATGGCGGCAACGCACCACTTCCGCAGTGCACATCGCCGCACTTCGCACATAATCGACCGAGAGACGCAAAGGGGGCCAAGGCTAACGTTCTTCCTTTTTCGTTCCCGTTCCGCAGTGTGATCGGATTCAGCCCGGATGTACTCAGTGCTCCCGCAAGAACATCACCTGCCCCGGCTACAGGGATCTTTCAGACTTCTTATTTCGGGATGAGACAGCGAACGCCGCCTTGAAGGTACAGAACCGGAAGCCGAGGAGGCGCCACGAGGCCAAGGTTCGGCCGCAGCCGTCGGCGGATGCGTCGTCCTCTCAACTGAAACTTCCTCAACGGCAACATGCAGAGGCGGTCGCATCGACGTCGGCGGCGGGGGCGAAAGCGGCCGGCGCCGCTCCTCATGCCGCTCGGAAGTTGAATACCGCTTTCAGATCGCCCGCAGATCCCTCCTCCGAGGTTGACGTATCTGTAGTTCGTTATCGGAATGTTTCAACCCCTATCGAAGACCTTGCCCGCACATATTTCATGGTCGAATACATCGCGTCTTCGCCTTTCGAGTACCTACCTAAACTGTATCCCCACGGGTTGAATGAGCAAAATGCCATGTCGGCCGCCATATTGGCCGCCTCTTTCGCTAGCCTTGCCCTCAAGTGCTCTGATGGGAATCTCATGAAGCAATCGCGAATGCACTACGCCAAAGCACTCTGCCAAACCAACAAATGTCTCAGTTCCACAGATCTTGCCGTCCAGGACTCGACGCTCGCTGCCGTGCTTCTACTGGGCCTTTTCGAGGCGATCGTCTTCACAGGTCAGCAGTCTCTCGACAGTTGGAACGCCCACACCGTCGGGGCCGTGGAGCTTCTCCGCCTGCGTGGATCCAAGCAGCTGGAGACGCCTCTCGGGCGCACCCTTTTCCTCCACTCAAGTGGCAACATCCGGACCAGCTGTGCGCATACCAAGAGAGCGGTTCCTCCTCGACTGCTGCAGCTTTTTGAGAGTGCGAAGCCGATGCTGGATCTCAGTGATCCGTTTCTCATGACAGCTCCGATTGTCGACCGAGTGGCTAGTTTGAGGTCGAGAATAGAGCGCGTCCATGACCAAAACAGACGAGACCTAGTTTGGGAGGCACTGGATCTGGATATCGAGACTTTGAGGCTTGGCCAAGGTGTCGCAGAGGACTGGAAGTTTACAGCGAGGCTTCCGGGGCAGAGTTCACGCTTGACGTACAAGGGCATTTCTCTTCAGTACCCGTCTCTGCGAGCTCTCCGATATTGGAACGCGCTTCGGATCATCCGCATGTTCCTCAACGATCTTGTCTGGGTGCAGTCTTCCAAGATTCTCCAGCAGGGCCCTGACCTTGACGACGAGACCGACTACGAGGAACTCCAAACATCAGCTAAGAGAAACATGTCGACTCTCGTGGTCGAGGTACTCGCCAGTTGCGGTGAGTATCTCGAGCCGGCCGAAGAAAGGTTCTCTGTTTCAGCCCGCTGCTTAATCTGGCCGCTGTCAGTCATCGCTGAAGTCTCCATCACGCCGCCCGATGCGCGCCAGTTTGCTACCGACTGTCTTGAACGGCTTGGACGGGACTGCCGAATCCCAAAAGCTGCTGACATGACCACGAGCTTGCTGTCAATTCAAGGAGCTGACTGGTATGTACCAATTTAGCCGAGCTGCACGTCGCCCTTGTTGAGTTTTCACCCAGGCTTCACTTGTATCACCTTGCATAACATTCAAGCATCATTGCATTTTTTCTGGTTGTTGAAATCATCTCACACCTTCATTAGAACGGTCTACAGCGACAAACAGCTTCGAGCTGACATATTTACATCTATACTCTCCCAGCGCCGACCTATCTTGGGCACAACCGGAGCAGCCTCCATCTCCAGTCCCCAACTGTGGACTCTGCTACCCTCCCTGGTTCACTGTATGCTCACTCGTTATGGCTAATGCCAGGCTTTGGGGTGAGCTGCTTGAGGTATTGGAGGCAATATGCTCTCATGCATGTGTCCACCGGGCGCATTATGATGCGCGATGCTGTGCTCCGCTGAAGGATAGCTCTCACCGACAGCATTTCTGCGCTTCTTCTTGATCTGGAAGTAAAGCGTCAAGCCAGCTATAAGCAGGCTAGGTATCCCGACGCCCAAGCTCGCGGCGAGCGCGACAATATCTGACCGGCTCAGCCCTCCGCTCTCCGCCGCTGCCGATGGCTGTTGTGCTTCGGCAGACGACGTGCTGCTCGAGTCGAGCCTCGAGGTCTGTGTTGCCTGCCCATCATTCGAGGCACCTGCGCCGTTACTAGCCGAGGTCTTCAAGGACGTCCGCTCGCTCGTCAGAGTTGCTTGCGCGTTCGGCGCGTTGGCTGCTTGCCCGTTGGCGGTTGCGCAGTACGAATCGTACAGATCCAGCATGCTTGTCAGATCGACTGACCAGTTTTCGACTTTGCTGCATCCCCTGCTGACGCACGATGAGATGTATGAGGTGGCAGAGCTACCCAGTCCAGTGTTGCAGTAGCAGCCGTTGATGGATTGGCAACCGCATTGCAAAGCAACCCCGAGGTCTTGATACCCGCCGACCCCGCAAGGATAGGCGCCATTGTACACGAGGCAGCCAGCTGCGCAGGCTCGCACGGTCGAGTATGCAATTTCCGAAAAGATGCTGACCCTTGCGAGGGCGCCTGTGGTGGTTGCGGCCAAGGTGACGGGAGCCAGTAAGAGGAGACTAGCCATCGTCAAGGGTGCCGACGATGGTGTTCGAGGGCTCTCCCATGGAACCATAATCAGCAATCCTGCTATGGGAGTCTGTTATATTGGCAATCAAATGGAGAGCTGAGGCGCAATGCGATGGGAGTGTTGGGTATTCTCGGAGTTTGGAGTTGACAGGAGGGCTATCGTGTCCCGCAAGGGGCACCTGAAGTCCTCAACAGTCGCGGTCTCTATATCAAATGGAAGATTCCGCGCCATCGTCGTGCCACTTTTTTTTTTTTTTACCTTATACGGGACCAATGTGATTAAAGGAAACCCAAATAGCATGTGAGAGGCTGAATGCTGGCGATCGTGGCGACACTAGGCCCTTTAAGGCCGAACTCCGACAGCTCGCAGCGAGTCGAGAAGGGCAGCTGAAGGCTTGACATAACCACCAGAGTACGTCTTGGGCGTCTGAAGAGAGATTGGATTGTGGTAATCTTTGGGCGGGCTGTTCAAAGTCCTAGGCCAGGCTCGAACTGGAGATCCAAGGGCATGGCGTCGAGTGTGTTTGCAAGCTCCAACGCCGATGCCATCGGCCAGTCCCAAACATTCCATTGCAACTGGTCAAGCACCGGTGGCTGGGCTTCTTTCGACGAGAATGTCTTTGTTTGGAGCATGTCCAGTACGTCGGCGCATTGTGTAATGTAGCCGTTGGCATCGTCCGCTCTCAGGTGGCGCAAGGTCGTCGCGCAGGTCCTGACTAAATCCTCGTCCTCTTCGTCCGTCGTAATTGGCTGACCCTTCCATCTAGCGAAGAGAATGGTCAGCCCGGCTTGCCAAAGCATGTGCATACCATTTGGGTAAAGGTGTGCGATGGTGACGGCGTCCAATCTTCGAGGGGTGGTCTCGTCGCCAATTCCTATCGCAAATAGGCGGATGAGCTCTGCAGAGGCGCGGCCACAAGCAATAAGAGAGACCGAAAACTGCGGATCGGACGTTGTGAAAGCCAATGCTGGTCGGTGGATATGAACCGTTGCGTTGCAGAAGGCGGCGCGCAGGAAGGCGACTTCAAACGTGTCGATGTTGACTGCCGGAAGCAGGTCGCCCCCATCGTCGTCTGCATCGGCCAGTTTCTCAGTCGGCAACATTCGCTCCCACATGGTGAGCTCGGCCTGCAACTGTGTGATCTTAGCTACGCCACCGCGTCGACGAGTTGTCGTGTACAGCTTTTCCAGAGCTTCTCCGACAATGACTGCGAGCTTGAACATGCACAGGGCCGTGTCAACCTGTGACCGCTCACCCGGAAGAGGGAAGGCCACGCTTTCGCGTGATACTTGGTCATGGTCTACGCGTGAAGGAAGATCGGTGTCAACGTCCTGGTCCCGTATCAATCGCGGCATTCCATGATAGGCACTCGAGAATCTGACGGAGGGGTTAGCGATTGGCTAAGATGAGTGGGAGAGGGCAGCTAACGCGTCGAGGGAGTATTGGCACCACCAAACGCGACGTCGCAGCTCTGTCTCTAAGGGGTCGAATTTGAATCGTTGAGAGTGCCGATGAAGTCCGAGATTCTGCGCCATGCGTGTTGCCATGCCTCCAAGTTGAGATGCGACTGAGTACCGAGACGAAAGTTGGAGGTAAATCTGGGCAATCTCTAGTCCCTGTAGCGTTGGTAACGAGGGTCTCTCATGCAGCTTGCTCGTCAGAGTTGCAGACATGTGGTAGTACTTCTCAGACAAGCATAGAAAGTGCTCGTGAGTCTGAGTGCAAGTCCCTGGAAGACCCAGAGTTCCTAGAGCTAGAAGCCCTAGAACTTGGTGCAGAATACTGAGATCCCCGATCTCCGGATCATCTCGAAGTCTGTGAAAAGCTTCTAAAGTAGAATGCTTGTGTACGATGGGGTAAAGTGGTGTCCAGCGATCAATTGTGGCCTCGAGGATATCGGCAGCGTTACGAGGAAACTGACCAACCATCGCAGCAATCAATTGCGCCTCGGAATCTTTCGGCGGGTTACCCCAGATGTTGTGTAAGTATAGGCTGTATACGCTGCTTGGAAACGTGTCCGTGTGTATCCGGAGCATCTGCAGCTGTTGTTCAGCTTGACTGATGAAGTGAACCCCAGTCGAAGACCCTGCGAACATGGCGATCTGATCATCGTTGGAGACAAGTCGGCCCATGTGGCCGATCACAGGCTCGGGGCCCTGTCTTGACCTCGCGACTGATATCATGTCTGCACGACGTGGCCATGTTGATGTCGATCTGTCGGAACCATTCGCTACTAGAACGCTTGGCTGGGATTGCCCGATCATTCGCGACTGTGAAGTTTCTGTTGGATTCAAAGTCGAATCCACCACACCGGCCGCTGAGTCGGGGGTTCTCACCGGAGCCGACCCGCTCCGTCTTTCATCAACGACTTCATTCTCGTAGTAACTAGAAAGCCATCAGCATGGATTCTGCAGCTAGGAAAAGCTGATTCTTGGGTACCTTTTCCTTTTTCGGTTGCGCTTCAGCTTGGTTGACACCACACAGGCGACACCACCCACGGTGCAGGGCGTGCACTGCAGGTGGATGCGTCAGTTAAATCGACAGATGGCACTCGGGTTGCTTCAGCGGTCCGCGGGAATAGCTCACCTTCTCCCCATCCCCATAGCAGCGGATTTTTCTTCTGCAAGTGTGAAGACATGTCAGCGGGTTTGGCGCCAATGCCCATGGGCGCTCTTTCGATCAAAGACGCATCGACAGTTGGTCAAATACATACCGCCGACAGCGGTCACTGCGATGCAAGTCAGCAGACGGTAAATTTCTCAAGCGGCGGAGCTCTCACCAAACTTGTCCAGACTGCGCTCCGCTCGGGGTTTCCTGTCCATTCATGCTACCGGCGCCGTCGACATCATCAGTTTAAGGAGTCTCAAGCTCTTTCAAGTCCATATACTTGCGACAGTGCATGAGAGTAGTCGCGCGCGCATGAGCCGTCGGTGATGATGCGATGTTGTGGAGAAGATTCAGGACGCGCCGCCCACAGCGGAAATTCTGCAGTGGTGTTCCCGCATGACTCGGTTAGTTGCATGCCGCTGGGTAACCTAGCACAGCACATCCCGCCTAAGAGGGCCATTTCCCATTGAGCAACGCCATAATAGTCCATTTCTTAGTCTAAACGGACTCTTCCTCTCTTCAAGTATTAGAGAAAGAGAATTTCATATTCATGTGCAAGGAAGCTGTTGAGCGTTTCGAAGAATGATGAGACAATCGTCAAATACCTTACGTAGGTAAATACAGGGGTGTGAGACGCAGCGCTAGGCGTCCAAAAGAAAGAAGGAGACTATCTTTCAAAACCAAAGGTTTTCATGGATGAATGAAATAATCCAAACCATTTCTCGAGATCTTCCAAACATTGTTTTCTAGCCCGTGAGTTGTGTAGCAGAACTCGGTCTCAAGACGCGAACACGTTTATGGTGTAATCAGCGTTGGACGGTCGGTGTAAGACAACTTATGAATGTGATTTCTATCTTGGTATACGCCTTCGCCATGAATTGATGCTCGCCTTTCTACTTTCAACCTCCCTTCAAACTAACTAATGTGTGCCATTTGTGGTGTTGCCATTGCCATTGACTTGAACAGTCTTCTGTCCCAGGAGCTCGTCAAGCATCAGTTGACAGCATCCCAAGTACTCGGTGGGATCGCACAGCTTGGAGAGATCGGTTGAGACAAGGTGTGATGTGACTTGTGATGACTTCTCCAAAGCCTCTTGCAGGGAAATACTGTTTTCATGAGCCTCGACACAGGCCTTGTAGACAATCTCATGTGCCTCTTGGCGACCAGTGTACTTAGCCAGGTCCATCATCACAGCTTCAGCGACGATCAAACCACGGGTAGACTTCAGGTTGGCCAACATAGCATCTTTGTTGACTTGCAGGCCAGAAAGAGCGAACTCAGCCTGGTGAAGAGAACCAACAATGGAGATGAATGCAGTGGGGATGGCGGCCCATTCCAAGTGCCAAGGGCCAGATGCTCTCTCGAAATCGGAGACCATGCCGTCCAGTACCAGACCAGCCTGGGCACGGAGAATCTTGGACTGCGCGAGGATGACCTCGCTGGAGATGGGGTTGCGCTTCTGAGGCATAGTGGAGGACGCGCCACGGTGAGGAACGTAGGGCTCTGCAACCTGGATAGAGTCATGTTAGTATGGAACCTACTTGAAATGACGTCATGGCAGACATACCTCGTTCAGCTCATTTGAGGACATGACAATCAAGTCAAGAGCAATCTTGCCCAAGCTACCACCAACCAGGGCAAGGTAGTTGATGATTTCCGCAACAGTGTCGCGCGCGACGTGCCAGGTAATAACCGGGTCCTGAAGCTCAAGAATGGTCGCCAAACGCTTGCGCACGCGAATACCGCTATCCGAGGTGCCCAAAGAAGCGAGAGTTCCAGCAGCACCACCAAATTGAACAAGCAGGCAGCTTTCCTTGATCTGCTCGAGACGCTTGACGTGACGGCGGAAACCAGCAAGCCAGACGGCGCACTTATATCCGAAGGTGATGGGGAGGGCGTGCTGCAAGTGTGTTCTGCCGGCCATTGGCACGTCTCGGTAGGCGGCGGACATATTTTCGAGGGTCGAGGTGACCTTGCGGAGGAGGCGCTCGACAATCTCAAGACCATGCTTCATCTGCAAAACTGAGGCAAGGTCCATGATATCTTGGGTCGTGGCACCCCAGTGAATGTATCCAGCTGAGAAGACCTTGTATTAGCTCCCGTATACAACACCCAACCGAGCTCACTGGCCGACTTACAGGTCTCCTCCGGCACCCATTTTGACATCTGCTCAACCAAGGGAAGAACTGGGTAGCCAACAATCTCAGTGCGGGCGGCAAGCAACTGCCAGTCAATCTTGGAGACATCGCAGTGCTCTCTGAGAACAGCAGCGGTACCAGAAGGCACGATACCCTCAGCTTCCTCGGCCTCAGCCAGAGCGCACTCGGCCTTGATCAGGTTGGCAACATAAGATCTCTCGGAGAAAGCTTGACGAGCCTCCTCGGTACCGAAGATGTTGCCGAACAACGTGGAGTCGAAGACAGTCGCGGCAGACATGGTGAAGGGCTGGTTTGAAATGAAGGTCTTGGTATTACTGTTGGTTCTGCAGCAAGGGATGTTTGTGGAGAAAGCCAACAGGCAAGAGACTCGTTCGTTTTCAGGAGGAAGGACGCGGCGGTTCAAATGTCCCAATGACATTCAAGTGTTCCCCTCGAACACTTTTATTTTTCCCAGGACGGAATCCTTCTGCCAGCTCCGGTCTTACACCGAACCCCGCGGTGGGGCACGGGATAACGCGATAACGGGGGGCCGGAGGACGGGATAAGCGCGGCGGCCAACCACGCACGGAGTAGCGGAGTAGCGGCGTAACGGCGTAGCACGGGCCAAGGCCCGGCGAACTGGTCTTGGCCCCGTACGATCCCCAGCCCCGGGTCTGCTGCCACCCACCGCAAACGTGGGATAAGCTCGTTGCGGGGAATCTGGAGTTCTGGGGGTTAGTGTGCTTAGTGTGGTCGAACCATCCCCGCAAACCCGGGGCTCGATTCGACAGGTAAATATCTGGAGGTATAATTATGGCCATATCTCTCCTTGATTTCTTCTGTTTTTCTCCAAGAGATCAGCTCGCTTGTTTTCTTCTTTCGTTTTCTTATTGACAAAGAATCTGGCCTCCGAGACTCTGCCTTTGTCAACATGTCGACCACTTTGGATCATAAGCCTGGCGGCCCCCTTGAAATCGAGCATGACGAAAAGTCGGTCAAGGGGGAGGCTGTTGTCTCTGGGGATTACTCTGGCGCAGCTGAGAAGACCGATCCTGTCGAAATAGCACTTGTCCGAAAGCTTGACAGGAGAATTATGGTGAGTCTGGTTGCTCGACTATCAGACGATCTAGCGCTAACATTCTGCAAGCCAATTCTCTGGGCCATGTACTTCTTGAACTACGTACGTATATCATCTTGTGCCGTTCGACTAGGCCATTCTGCTGACATTCGTCCCAACAGCTCGACCGAAATGCCCTGCCCCAAGCTCGTCTGAACACCCTCGAGGAGGACCTCAACCTCAAAGGTGTTGAATACAACACCGCCATCTCCATCCTCTTTGTCGGATATCTTCTGATGCAAGGTCAGTCGCCACCGAAGACTGCCTTACTATACCAGCAACATCGCTGACCTGAAGCAGTCCCTTCAAACATGTTCTTGACTCGTACAAAGCCTTCCGCGTACATGTCAATCTGCATGATTGGCTGGGCGGCCATCTCGGCTGCTACCGCAGGCGTCAAGAATTACTCTGGACTCGTCGCTTGTCGGTTCTTCCTTGGTTTTGTCGAAGCAGTGAGTATTTAGAAGGAAGGGGCAAATTTCGTCCATACTGACAACTACATAGCCCTTCTACCCCGGCGCGTTGTATATGTTGTCGATCTTCTACACCCGAAAGGAGCTAGCGACTCGGATTTCACTTCTCTACACAGGCCAGGTGGTCAGCACTGGTTGCTCAGGCCTGATCGCTGCTGCTACATTCGCAACACTTGATAAGGTCAAGGGAATTGCTGGATGGCAATGGTACGAGTCTTCGCTCCATTCGTGGCAAAGCATATACTGACAGCACGTTTGAAGGCTCTTCATCATCGAAGGCTCCGTCACTGCCTTGGTGGCCATCTTTGGCTTCTTCCTTCTCCCTGACGACCCATCCGAGACGCGCTGGCTTACCGAGGAAGAGCGCAAGCTGGCCGTTGAGCGGATCCGTCGTGACACTGTCGGTCATCAAGAAAGAGGATCGACCTGGGAGGGTCTTAAGCAAGCTTGCAAAGATCCGAAGACCTGGCTCTTTTGTCTCATGCAGAACTTGCACATTTCGGCGTGTTCTTTCAACAACTTCTTCCCTACCATCGTCCGCAGCATGTAAGTCAATTGGCACCGTCAAGAAGCTTCTCATTGACGAAGATAATGCTAACACCTTTGCTAGGGGCTTCCGATCTACTACCGCTCTTCTGCTCACAGGTAAGCCTTTATTTCCTGCTGCGTTGAACGGGTTACTGACAAACAACAGCGCCTCCTTACTTCGTATCTGGCATTTTAGGAATTCCCTTTGCATGGTCTAGCGGCAGGTTCAACGAGAGGACTTGGCATATTACCGCTGGCCTAAGCTTGGCTATTGTGGGTTTTGCCATGACCTGCGGCAGCCAGAACAATGCCGTTCGCTACACGGCCACCTTTCTCTACGCTACGGGAGCTTACAGTAAGTCATTGTGTGGTTTCCTCCAACGTTTCACCGCTAACTTGGTATCAGGCGTTGGTTCTGTAATCCTCGGTTGGGTCAGCAACACGCTTTCTCAAACTCCTGAGAAGAAGGCCGTGGCTTATTCGTTGGTCAACGTCACTGCCAATCTCGCATACATCTACTGTGCTTATCTTTGGCCCAGCTCCGACGGTCCTAAGTACATGATGGGCTTCTCAAGCATGATCGCTTTTGCAGCTACCAGCATCATGTGCGCCTGGGCTATGCGCGTGTGGCTGATCCGGGTCAACAAGAAAATTCGGGAGAGTGAAGATGAGAACGTCAAACTTTATGCCTACTAAGACTTCGTTCTGAAGCATCGGAGGCATAGGTTTGAGATTAATGTCGTTGTGTCTCCTCTTGCAGCCGAGTCGCGACATCTGTCATCTGAAACCTAGGATTTCTAAGTAGATACTCGTTTAACCACTCATTACTTGAATGAGATGAATGATTGTCGCGTCTGAGATCATGCTGGTCAGTCAAAGACTTGGATTTCAGTGACTTCATGGGAAGATGAGTTGGCCAACTCTTTGATTCAAGCCAGCAGTCCAATAAAAGCATGATAACGTGCCCTGCGACGCCACTCCCGACGTCAGTTTCCTAAAGTCAATGGTTGAGGAAAGTGTAAATCGTTTTCGCCGGGCAAGGTTCCCAAAATGGTAGCACAGCGGCTTGAGTCCAAATGTGAATATAGAATTCCCCTCAGTGGCGCTGGACGATGATTTTCCTCAAGTTTTAATCAATTTATCCCCCGTGTGTTTACGCGTACCTTCGCTTTTCCGTGTGTATGACTGGTGCGGCAGTCACTTTATTGGTTTTTAAATGCGACCTCGGGCCATGTGTAGGTGCATGCTGGGACTTCGAAAAGGGGTGCTAGATCTGCATGATCAATTGTCACCCCCGCTTGACAAAAATCCCAAACCTGGATACCGTGAAGCTTAAGTCGTCCAAGCTAGCCGGTAGTGTAGCTGTCAGATGCATCTGCAATCTATGCGCAAACAGTGGCGCGCATATATCGGGCGACAGGAAATCCGAAGCCGTCCGTGTGGGGTTTTGAAAAAGAGGAAGGTACCTATTGGAGTATTCCCAGATGGTTAGACGGGACGATGGAGCTTCGATTTTACCAAGCCCATGGGTAGAAACCTCCTTATGATCGCACATAAGCTCAAACAGCGGCCAAGCTTTGCTCGGCAACACCGGTCGAGTATTTTCTGACTTTGGCAGTCAATCGAATGAAATGAAGCACACTTGGAACTCAAAAGCTTGAGGAGATGACTTGCTTTCGGAACTGGACCGCTACCAAAGCTTGTTGGCTTGGCGCTCTGCACGTTTGGCACAACAAAGCCCCTCAAATTTCCAGTCATCAATCGTTGCCATATCCATGTCATGTCCTTTAGAAAACACAGAAGGTACCGCTGTCCACAGCCACCGACAATTTCTCCACGCGAGCGAGTGATGGACGGCGAATGCCGGGGCAGTTGAAGGCTCTCATAATGACGGTTGATTGCGTCTTTGTTGAGAAGTACATGCATCTCATCTTGTACGCTTGTCGTATACCCTTGCAGACTTATGCACCTGATCGATCAAAATTGACCACTTTGAGGTTCGGATCGTTGTCACCGTAGCTTCCATATGGCAGTTCGGTGTCCGGTCGTGTGCGACGATCCTTCGCTGCTCCACCCTCGGACTAGAGTCGCTTCAGGTCCGATGGAGATCGGCCGAGAGGGTCAACATTAAGCTTAACCTTCTTTTGACAGATGGCGACGAAGTGTTTGCCCGAGTTGGGACGGAGCATGGTTGCTCAAGAGCGAAAGCGAGGTGCAAGCAGCGGCAAATTCCACCCAACTGTATCGTTCATTCCCAATTCCGTGCTCCTTTCATTTGATTGAATCCTTGCGACTGAGCTGCAATTGGGAATGAAGCGGAGAAAACAGTCTTCTCAGTGTGTCACTTAGAGCAACCTAAACCGAGTGGCCCGCTTGACAGTCCCCTGTCTGGAATATCCCCCGGCCTTCAACTCCCGGATGAAGGAAGACTAGCCGGACCCGCCCGCCAATTGAGTTGTCTCCGACGGCTGGGGTAAAGCGCCGGGACTGCGGGCCTAAATATTCCCATCACACGGAGGTTCCCAAGATCCAGGGCCCACTCCATCGGTGAATATTGTGGTGACCCCGGCGGCCATATAGACCCATGTTCACCACTTGTTTGGTGGGAATAGACTCACGAAAAGCCGCTTGTGAGATGCCGGCCCAGCCCTATAGCGCCGCTTGGCACAAACCGTTGCATATTGGGGAGAGATGAGGGCTCTGAGAAGTGAACTGCTGCTGAGGCAGGTCAGGACGAGGCCTCCTCGTGTCACCCCACCATCATGGTGTTGAGGGGACGAGAGTGCATGGCCTCTAGCTTCATAGATGTCCTTTTAAGACTGCGTTCCCCGACGCGAATCCAAGTACAGTCCTTAGTCTGGTCTTCATCTTCATCCTCATCCTCTTCTGTAAATAGATTTGACCCCCTTGTGTCTGCCAGCCTTCAATTTGCAAGACACCATGAAGGTCTCATTCCTCTCCCTCGTCGCCGCTTTCGCGAGCGCGGCGAACGCTCAGGTCCAGGGCAAGCCCTTCGGCTTCGCTGCCGGCACGACTGGTGGTGGCTCTGCCACTCCTCAGTACCCGTCCTCCCTTGCTGAGTGAGTAACGAAGCGAATTTACTCTAGAAATGCTATTTTCGTGTTTCGAGGAACGACTACTGACAGCTACAAGGCTCAAGACATGGCTCACAGACAGCACGCCGCGTGTCATCATGATCAACCGCACCTGGGACTTCCGCAACACCGAGGGCACCACATCTACTCAGTGCTGCAGCGACAACCGGACCACCAAGTGTCCCGGCGGTACGTCTGCAGGCCAGGCCTGGATTCAGACTACCTGTGACGCTGCCAGCGGCACCTGGGTTTCCTGCACCTACGACAACGCGGCCCGGACCCCGATCGATGTTGGTAGCAACAAGAGCATTGTCGGTGTTGGCACTTCTGGTGTCATTATCGGCAAGGGTCTGCGTGTTCGTGGTGGAAACAGCAACGTTATCATCCAGAACGTAAAGTCCAATGTGCTCTTCGTCTCCAAGCCGCACTAACACACCTAGGTTCACATCACGAACCTGAACCCTCAATACGTCTGGGGAGGCGATGCTATCACCCTCGATGGTTCCGACAGAATTTGGATCGACCACTGCAAGATTTCACTTATCGGTCGTCAGTTCATCGTTTCGGGTTGGGGTGCTGCCGGCAAGGTCACTATCTCCAACACCGAGTTCGACGGCAAAACCACCTGGTCTGCTGGCTGCAACGGCAAGCACTACTGGGCGCTTCTTCTGATCGGTGCTAAGGATTATTACACCTTCTCCGGTACGTACTGATTCTCTCCTACTGTTCGAAGTGCCCATGTGATGGGTAACCCGTGGACTTGACATGATCCTCGCTCTCCTCCATGCCACCCCCCTTATGCGCCAAAAGCTCAAATCCACTGATTCTTTCGTGCTCGGTCTATGAACGTTTGTTAACACATTAGAAGGCAACTACATCCACGACACCTCCGGCCGCAGCCCCCACATGGGTACAACCAACGGTGTGACTGAAAACTACTTCCACTCAGTCGTAAGTGTTCCATCACTCAAACTTCCGGACGAAACAGCAAGCTAACCCGGGCTTTTTATAATAATCTTTTCGAGAACGTTCAAGGCCATTCATACGACATTGACGGAAATACCTTCGTCTTGATTGAGGGTAACTATTTCAACTCCGTGACCACGCCCATCACGTCAGCCAGCTCCACGAATGGAGGCCAGATCTACGTCGTCAACACCGTCGACGAGGCCTCCCGCTGCACATCCTACCTCGGTTACATTTGCGAGTGGAACCGGGCAAGCGGTTCTGGCACCGTTACCTCCCTTACCAGCACCACAGCTCTCACCAAACTGAGCGCCTTCAAGTCCTCCCTCATCGGTCACATCGGTGTTGCCGATGTTCCCGCCAAGGTCAAGGCCAACGCCGGTGTTGGAAGGACGACTAGCACCAACTCCTAAGTTGTCTTGCTGGCGTTCGGTAACCCTGTTCCCCCGTTGGGGGCTGCAAGCCCTTCAGGGGGGCTATGAATGTACTTACATTCTCTGTATATACTGGACATGTACATACGCTGTCTTTGGACTTCTGCAAGCTTGAAACATACTCAATTAAGCCCATTCTTTATTGAAATCTTAAGTTTCATTGATAACTAACGCGTGCAACCTATATAGTGCACATCTTGTTCCTATTGTATTGAGTCTTGCTATCCAGGCGGATACTACTAGCTGACTGCGGATAACTGTTATATAAGGTCTAATAGTTTGTTATCTATAAACAATCTATTATTCCTGTTGTATTTATCCCTATTATCTTTATTATCCCTAACGTCCCTGTTATTCTCGTCGTCCCCGTCGTCCCCGTCGTCCCCATCGTCCCGGTCATCCCTATTATCCCTATTATTATGAATACTCACTACCCAACTGGATAGCTAGGAATTTCCACATAGGATAACTCATTGTATTTGCTATTCACATTATCTATATCGTGTTCGTCTCTATCGAGTCGCAATATTCTAACGCAAGTGATGCCAACTGAGCCATCTTGTTCCGTGATCTTAAGGTTCATGGTGCTGATGAAGCATCCGTGGCAAGTTTCACCATGGCGGCAACTCGGTTGAAGTGACGATGTCGATTGTCCTTGGTTCAAAATTACAATGACGAAAAGCCAGATTCGAGATATTCTAGAGAAAAAGAAGAGAGTACCACTGGCCCCGGGTATCCATATAAGCGCAAATCCGCTGTAATCATTCACTGAGCCAAACGCCGTACACCTAACCATCAGCTGATGGTAACAGCAATCCCAAAAGTCAAAGCCACAACTTTTATGTATACTGAACCTAAATCAATCCACTCCCGTCCACTTCATGACTCCTTGAAATCCCACTCTTGCTGTATTGACGGGTTTTGCACCGCCTTGCCCTGACCCGATAGCCAAGCGTGGCAAGCCTCGTATCTCGGGTGATCAATGCCACGCTTACCAGAGGCGACCATACGATCAGCGACGTCCAACACGCTGCGACCCTCAACGTCACGGGCTTGTACGTTGGCACCGTTCTGCGTCAATGTGCGCATAGCCAGCTTCTTCCCCTTGCGCACGGCAATGTGTAGCGCTGTCTCTCCAGACCGGTTGCGCGCGTTGACGTTGGCTCCGGCTTGGATGAGGAACTCCAGGATTGCGACGGGT